TCCATCTCGCTCGGCTAGCTGCAACCCGATATAACTCCCCTCCTTCCCCTCCTGCTGTCTGTCCCCTCACCTCCCTCTAGAACTACAGGTGTAAGTAATATCTGGGCTGTATCTCTCTCTCTCTCTCTCTCTCTCTCTCTCTCTCTCTCTCTCTCTCTCTCTCTCTCTCTCTCTCTCTCTCTCTCTCTCTCTCTCACTCTCTCTCCTGGGTCTCCGGTGTCCTCTCCACTTTCGGTGGCGGCGATAAGATGTCTGCGCGATTAAGAGGGAAAAGTAATCCTGCCCCGGGCCCGTACTGAATGCTCAGGCAACACAAAAGCAGCGGGACAGGGGCGGGGAGGTGAGCGAGGGAGGGGGGCGGGTGGACGAGGGGTAAATAATTGATGGGCAGCACTTTCGTTTTTTAATCTGTAAATGAGAAGCCCGGTGATGCTTTAGCCCGCTGTGTCACCCAATCCCGCCACCATTAAGATAACAAGATGGAAGATAATGATCCTAGTTAAGACGCAGTTTACATGGCAGAGGAAGGAGGGAGGCTGATCGGTCTTGGCTGGATCCTTGGAAGAAGACCCTTTGCGAACCTGATGAGGTGGATCTGTGCTCACGTCCATATAACCACGGCGAGCTGGACTCCCATCAAAGACGCCGCACAAGGACAGACCAGAGTTATCTTGTCCATTAATCTGCTCCGTTTACATGCCACCTGGCGTAAGTCGCCCGAGAACAGAATTGGCCACGGCCGAGCGCGCCGAGAATTATCAAAGCATCAGCGCCTCCGGGTCAGTTTAATCACAGGTGACCCTTCAGTCGGAGCGGGAAAGAAAGAGAGATAAGGACCTAAAGAAAGGAAGGCTGAAGTATAAAATGGAACGAAGAGAAACTGAGTGCTGGTGATCCTCTAAAAGGCCAGGAAAGTGCTGGAGAGGACCAGAGACCTCTATGTCTGAGAAATAGCCTGGGTGACAGTAAAAGCAGCCGCTGGACATGCATGCTAACTAACGTTACATTACAGCCAATTTGCATATACAAAAACAAGCCTTTATTAAAAGGCCTGCGTTTTATATCTGTATCATATTGGGCTTTTTGACCTGAGGTCCGCTTATGGCATTTGTGGCGTTTTCATGAAGCAAAAAAGTAGACATAATTAATTTTACATGACCGTTTTCCAACCTTTCTTTATGCCTTAGAATTAAACGGGCCATTTTTGTTACTATGCCTTTAAGACTGCTACATGTAAATGACCTCATTTATTAACAGACCCTCCTTCCTCTAAATATCACTTCCACTTTACCAAAAAATCGAGAGCAGGGAGTAAAAACAAGCTCTTCAGGAGTGTGAACTAGCTTGTGCCCAGCACATTGTTGTACAGTGTTGTGTTTTTATAATACTGAATGCTCTAATAAACTTAAAAGGAAATGTGAATATAGTAACATACAACCCTACTTCCAAAAAAGTCGGGATGCTGTAAATGTAAATAAAAACTGAATGCAATGATGTGCAAATTATTAAAACCTTATATTTAAAAATATTTTAAAATTGTACAAAGACAACATAGCAGATATTGAAAATGAGAAATTTTATTGTTTTTTTGTAAAATATATGCCCATTTTGATGCAAGCAACATGTTTCAAAAAAGTTGGAACAGCGGCAACAAAGATCGGTAAAGTTGTGTAACGCTAAAAAACACCTGGTGGAACATTTCACAACAAATTAGGTTAATTGGCAACTAGGGCTGGGCGATAAAACAATAACGATAATTATTGCGATATAACTTTTCCTCGATAGAGCGATACGACATGTTCGATAAATGTTCGATATAATACACCGTTCTCACACTTCCACGTTCAGTGAAAGCCCTGGTGGCGTTTTCTACTGCAAGGAAAGGGACACTACTCTGCTGTCGCCAGGAGAGGGCGCACTTCTGAGTAGGACTCTATTTGTCTGGTGGTAGATATTTTGCGGTTCACCACTTAAACTACTACAATTGAATATCCAGTCATCTAGCTGGTGTCTGAATACTGTGATGTCATGTGTAGCGGGGTAGCCGAGCGCTCGGCACCAGCTAAAATAATCTGTTTTCTTTCTTAAATCATGACTTTTACAAAATAGCCGTGCTTTTCCAGCTGGTAAAAACAGCTCAGCAGACACTTTCTCCCACTCTCCCATGACAGATCTGTGAAATGTTCCACTGTTTGGTGAGTGTTTGTTGTGTTCCGACCATAAAGGATAGTTTAAAACAGCGATTAACCACCCAGGAGCAAAAATCAGCCTTCAAACTTAAAAGAAATAATGATTTGACATTTATCGCAGTGTGTATCGATATCGAACGATATAAATTTTGTTTATCGTGATAACATTTTTGGCCATATCGCCCAGCTCTATTGGCAACAAGTCAGTAACATGATTGGGTATAAATAAAATAAATCTCAGAGAGGCTGAGACTTTCAGAAGTAAAGGTTGGGAGGGTTCACCAGTCTAAAAGACTGTACAGGCAAATAGTGCAACAATTCAATAATAACGTTTCTCAGTAAAAGAACAAAGAACTTGGAGAGCTTGGAGCTCTGCGGAGCTGGGCTGAAGCTGGCTTCTTATTCACCAGCCTTTTGTTCTAATTTCACTATTCACCCTAAACGAAGTGGTAGTTACACACTGGCAGCTGTTCAGGTGAATAAGAAGCCAACTTCACGCGTGTCCCACACGTCTGTGACTTTGATAAATGAATTTGGAAATCTAGCTGGTTAGATGATACGAGAGGAAGCGCAGCAATCGGTCTGATGTCCATCTTAGGCTAAGGCTAACCCCAAGAGACCAGCCATTCCTTTGCATCTGCTGCCTCAAAACAAAGTGAAATACTGAGTTTTCATTCAATACTGGACTGAAACATCCCTGACTCAGACGTTCAGCTAAACAGTTCGTGGCGATATCTTAACCATTATGAGAAAACTACAGGAAGAATTTCAACCAGCCCACTACTAGTTAAACCCCTAGTGTCCATGCATCTACATGCGCACTCAAACATACTCGCGCTGCATTTCAAGGCCGCCTCAACGAGGCAGTTGGCCAGCCCCTGACTGCATGACCTTTGCGGTCACTGGGATGTACAGGCTTATGGCCACTCCAGCCTTGGGACCAGCAACCCAAGCTGAACACCATAAGCAAGAGCCATACAAACCCGCGCCCCATCTCCATCCATCAGAGTGCGGGAGAATGACGCGCATGAAATGCGGCGAGCTGAGATCACCGTGAATAAAGACGTCTATTAGCAGAATGAAGAATCTTTCGCCGGGCGAGGTGACCTCAGCGCGGCCACGTGACGTCCATCAAGGAAGGCCGTTGGCTGGCGGGCGAGAGTGAGCGATGCGAGAGGCGGGAGCAGATGGGCTCCGGGGCCGGCCGTTTCTGCCCTCCGCTCTAATACGCTACCCATCATGCATTCCGCTCGGCCTCTAATGAAAGCGCAAGGCCCCATCAGTCACGGAGCGCGAGGCAAATGGAAATTCGGCCGTCCTCAGGAGAGACGTGCGCGCACGCATCCGTACATGACTGATCATCATCGCCGCCGACCGCAGAGCAACAACATATTAATATTCACTAAAAAACCTTTAAGGGCTTTTTTTTAACGTTCTTTTTTTCAAGGAAACCGACTGTCGTTTTTGCATTTCTGCGCCAGCGAGACGGATCGCGCTCACGGACCAGCGAGATACAACATTCCTCTCAAGAACCTTGTTTATTTAGTTTCTGTCATTATTTATAATGCAAATAAATCCATTAGCCCTCCACATTAGTCTGGGTTTATATTTAGAACGGGTCCTTCACGACGTCCTGCTAAGAAATACAGTTTTATTTGAAGCTTCTGGTCGGGTCTCTTGTGCTCTCTGAGAGACACAGTAAATAAAATCATGAACACAGATGGCCAAGGTAAATTTGGAGGCCTCCCTAGAGAATAGCTCTCCATTAGGTCCGTCAGCAGAGAGGCTGTTTGTCTGGTAGTAGAAATTCCCATAAAAGGCGTTGTTTCAGCTGGCTGGTTAATTACTTGGATATCCTTGACACATTTAGAAGACGAAGCGCTTTACTGAAGTATGTGACCGATGATCTCATGCTTATTAATTTTTTTTAAATGGGGAATATTTGGATTTTTGTCTTTGAAAACCCCATATCCTGCACATTATACATTACACATTCAAAAATAAAGGTACTAAACTGTCACTGGGGCAGGTCCCCTTTTGTCACTGGGGTGGGACCCTCAAGGGTCCATCTCAGTACCTTTAGTCAGGGAACATAACTGAACCATAATCCACTGAAATGATATGTTCTAAGCTGTACTGACTCCACACACCCCGTCTCGTCTCCAGGCTTTTATTTTACTGTTCTGTTTTAAAACATTCGGTTATGAAAAGGTACAAATATGAACTTTTCACCTGGAAAAACGTATTTATTATTTTTTATTTTATTATTTACGGTTCACAACGGACCTTAAAACCACTGTTGTACCTTTTGAGGGAACATTTATATTATTAACAGTGACATTTGTGTAGGTTTATGTACCAAAAACAGCCATAATTAATTTCAAATTGCTGTTAAACAGGCTGTTTTTGTTACTGTGCCTTTAAGACTGATATATGTAAATGAGCTCTGTTCTGATTGCACTGTTTTGCCTCATTTAAAAAGGCTGAAACACTCCTTATAACTTCAGTGTGAATGGGCGGGACTAAACTGCTGTAATCTGAAGAGGTGGCGATATGTAAATGCATTGGGTTTTGTGACATCACAAAAACAGTCCATTCAAAGAGGCTGCTTAGTTAACCTACACAGACTGTATGTAGTGGGGAGTGAGGGGTACAATTCGCAGCTTTAACCATGTTTACATTCTACGTCAAATGCTTCTTTAAAAGAGTGAGGAAAATTAGTTTTTCCGTGGTATGAGCCCTTTAATCTGATCTGCTTGTGAGAACTCATCTTGAAGTAAATCACTCTCTCTCTGCCTGTTTTATTCCCAGGGGTTCTTCCGTAGAAGCATCCAGAAGAACATGGTGTACACGTGTCACAGGGACAAGAACTGCATCATCAACAAGGTGACGAGGAACCGCTGTCAGTACTGTCGGCTACAGAAGTGCTTCGGAGTCGGAATGTCCAAAGAGTGTGAGTGCCGGAGCCGTGCTAACCTGCTAACCCTTATGCTTCGTTCACATGTTTGCACTAGACAGATGGCGGCAAACCGGAAGTTCCATAGTTTTCAATGGAGCCGTGACGGAAAATTTTGCCTCCGCAAGCGTCAACGTTCGATAGAGCGCAGTGGTGAGCGGAAGGTTCCGGCAAGAGTCCAGTCCTGTGGACGCAGCATTAGATGCTAACATACACACAGCGCTATTAACATATCATATACAACAGTTAGTTCTGGCCACGCAAGCTGATTGGTTGAGAAGCGTTCTAACCGTGCTGTTATTTCGCCATAACGTCACAGGTTTTTCACAGACACTGTATCACTCTGCTGAGACGCCGTTGCTAAGCAACGTGTTTGACAGCTGTAGGAGATGCTCAAGACATTTGAACGTTTTTACTTTGCACCAAACAGAAAACGGACACTTTTAAGATCACATTTGTCCGACAGCCGATTTGGTCAGACTCTGAAGATGAGACGACACTAAATTCCCAAACTGTCAGTTGGTCTGTGTGGAGCTGGAGAACGAACTGCCGGCTGTGCAGCGAGTGGGCGGAGCTCGTTACTCTGACGTAGCAACAAGCTGCTTGTTAAGGAACTATAATTTGGTGAAGGAACTGCGAACATTAAAACATATTAAACGCCGCGTTCACGGCCCAGTTTATTAATTTATTACTGTATTTATTTAACTGTTGTATAAAAGCAGTAGAACTCTGTTGACTCTGTTTGTGTGTTATTTAAGCAATAGAACACGAGGGAGTGTGTTATCGTGATATTGCGTGATATTATTTGCGATAACAGACTCCCTCTCATGTTCTATTGCTTAAATAACACAGAAACAGAGTCAACAGGACAAAAATCAGCAGCCTGAACGAAAAGGGGATCGTGAAGGAAACCTTTTAGTCGCTGTGCTTGAGTAACAGGCTGCATTGATTGAGCTAATAACAACCCTGAATCAAAATCAAGTTACACTCTTAAAAAGATGGTTCACTCAGCCCCCACATCAGCATCTAAATCGCACAAAACGGTCTCATTCATTTGTGCTGTTAAAAGAAACGTTTGTGCTGTTTTAATTCTGGAGTTCTAAAAACAATGAGAGTCTCTAGGTAACACCTCTGAGAAGCTGGACCCCTATGTGGTCAGAAATGGAATAAAAATACTACTTTTCATTTGTGCTGCTAAAATAAATGTTTGTGCTATTTTAATTTTCAGGTTATTCAAGTCTCATTCGTTTCTGCTGTGAAAAGAAACGTTTGTGCTGTTTTAATTCTGGAGTTATAAAGCCATAAAGTTTCAGTGAGTGACGTCACTCAGCCCGCCATCAACGTCCAAATGGCGCCAAAACAGTCTCATTCGTTTGTGCTGATTTGTGCTGCTGAAATAAATGTTTGTGCTATTTTAATTTTCAAGTTATTAAGCGAGAAGTTTTGACGTGTGACGTCACTCAGCCCCCCATCAGCATCTAAATCTCGCCAAAACGTTAAAAGAAATATTTTTGCTCTTTCAATTTTAAACTTGCTGGATAAACAGTACAAACACAGCACAAACGAATTAGATCATTTTGGCGCCATTTGGACGTCGATGGGGGGCTGAGTGACGTCACAGATAATAAAATCTAATGTTTAATTTCTTGAAAATGCTGCCAGCACAAACAATAATCCTTATGGCACAAACCAGCACAAACGAAAAGTAGTATTTTTATTCCATTTCTAACCACATGGGGGCAGCTTCACAGTGGTGTTACCACCCCTGTTGGCAGTGTGCTTATGTTTTAGTAGTAGCAAAGTGTATCATAATATACTTACTTCATTGCAAATTCATTTTTGATCCCTGTTTAAACAGCATTTCACTGCCTGAACATTTTCTTCCTGACCTTCTGTGATGCAGCGAGTAGGGATTTCAGTGACCTCAGTACCTGAGTGCCGGCACCTGGAATGGCTAACCGAGTATTCATGCGTGTCCATAGCCAGACATGTCCAAGAGTGAGAGTGACGCTGATAACGCTTCCCTGTCAGAGCCATCGCAGATATCACTGGCGCAGTTGTGTTAGTAGTTGTAGTGCCTCTACAACCGCAAGGTCACGGGTTCAAATCCCTTCATGGTAAACCTTAGAAATAAGATTAAAGGTCAGGAGTGAGTGCTGTGTTAGCGCTGCGCTCTGCAGACGCAGCCTTGAATACGCGAGTTATAATGCCAACGTGTTTTGACATGAAAGCTCTCACTTCAGGGAAATGTTAGAGGAAATGCCAGACAGCCTGGTGGCCTTTTTCTTTTAAGTGCTGCTGGAGCTCTTCCCCTGCACTATCACCTGCATTGTCATTGCTGCTTCCATTCAGTAATAAAATACTGATACCATCATAACCGAAAGCTTTGCGGTTGTTGAGGTACGGCTGGAAACGACAGAATGAAGGTAGATACCTTTCAGTTATGGGTGTCATTTTTGCGTTTGGAGCCTTTTCATACCTCACAGATAACTCACTGGCACTTTATGTCTTTATGGTTTCTCCTACATACACCAGAGACCTACTTCACTGCTCGCTCGCCTTAATTTAATAAATGCGTTTCCTGAGTTGCGCCACCGAGTAGTTCAAACGAAATTGGAAAAACGCGGCCGATGTTATTGTGGCACATCAGGACACCCAGTGATTTGCGTCTTGCTCCTGCGGTACCTGAAGCCGCCCTTGAAATAAGGGACTTCAGCTGTTGCTAATGCATCATTGCACTGACTGCGTCGCCGTGCCTGTTCCTACGGATCTGAGCGGTTCGCATTTCACACGTTATTGGATCCCTTCGATTGCATCAGCAGTTATGGCCCACGTCCACTTCGCGCTCCATTTGCCGCGGCAGAACAGGCGATTCCTTCCTTTCAGGACAAAAGAGCAATCCAGACGGTGATTTCTTAATGCTCATCCCTCTCTCCTCTCTCCTCTGTTCGTAGATGGGCTGTTGGCTAAGCGTTGTCGCGGTAGGTTTACGGTACGTGTTGCACCTGCTCCCGTGATGGATGGAGCAGGATGGCTCTGTTGGAAATGGGATGGTAGGCTGGTTCTGTTGGAGGAAACCAAGCCAGTGGAGCAGAGAGGGAATGGAGGAGTGGTAATAGAGCTCATCAGGGCTAAGTGTGATGGTAATGGTTGGCATTCTGGCTACTGTTAGATGATTCTGGCCAGAGCGGGACGGGTCCAGAGTGGAGTTGGGTTAAATGGCCAAGAATCTTATCACTATTCAGTCTGGATAGTGAAGAAAACAAAAAGCATCTGAACGGTTTGGCTAAATTAAGTGGAAATAAGTTAAAATATCCTCTACAGGAAACATTTTCTGCAAATTTTAGTGCACAAATTCAGCCCACCATTAACGTCCAAATGGCGCCAAAACGGTCTTATTCGTTTGAGCTGTGTTTGTGCTGCTGAAATAAATGTTTGTGGTATTTTAATTTTCAAGTTATTAAGCAATAAGATTTGTGTGCACAAATTTTAGTGCACAAATTCTATTATTTTTGCTGAGTTTAACATATTGGAAAAAATAAAATGTGCCATAACTTTTGCACAGGCCATTTCATTTTTCCCCAACATGCTGAATTCAGCAAATAAACTGTTATTGTGTATTAAAATGTGCAGACATGCTCTCTCTAACTGATTTTCACTTAGAAAATCAATAAAACATTATTTCAAACCTTTGCATATTCTTCTGTAAGACCAGCCGTTCCAAATTTTGTGCCACAGTCTCTTCTTGTTCCTCAACTCCTTCAAAGCCCCATAATTTAACACTGAACACAGCTGACTGTGATGACTCCCGCTGGTTTGTGCTGTTATGAGTGAATGGCTAGAATTCTTCACCCTTCCAGTCTAATGAGAGAAGTGTGTTACACAGTGCATCACTCAGCTGATAATGACGACCCGCAGTTTTATTGATGTTGGCAAAAGTATCGATCAGAAATTAGCAATCAATGTAGTTGCATCATTGGCAGGATTTAAACAATCTCCTGACGACAGAGCAAAACCTTAGAATATGAAAAAGTACATGAAAATATAAAATGAATCCAAACTTAACCTTTAGCATGAGAATAACACGTTATACTACCAAAAAACATTTTGTAATGAAGAGAACTGATATAAAAACATAAATAAATAAAAGCTGAAGTCAGAAAAATTCTGGATAGCTCCGCCCCCTGTGCTACCATATTTACATTATTTAAGACTGACTTTCTGTTGCTTGAATTGAAAAAGTGTGACACTTGATAACTGACAATTATATCAGTCAATAAAGCACTGTTTTTAATATATCGCTGCTCTCGGATCAAAACCTTTATCTCTAAAATGGTAACTTTACAGAAGAAGGAAAACTATACTGTAATTTTAATGCAAGTCAGTGGAACTAGAATTTATTCCAAGTCATTTTGGGTCGTTTCTTTTGGTCCATTCATCATGAAATTTATACGCAATGTAAAGAACAACAGGCATTTTCAGATTATGTCAAAAACTGAAAAACAACAATAATGGAGATGTGAGGTTTTGTTCCAAAAGCAGTTTATATATACATATATATAGACTGACAAATAGGGCGAAAAGTTTTGATCAAAATACGTTATTGTCGATCTTCTAATTGAAGATAAGTGAACACATCCTCTACAGAGACACACTACTGCACATTTCTGTGCACAATTACTGTTTGTTTGCTGAATTTAACATATTGGGGGAAAAATTTACCATGAAATGTGACCTGTGCAAAAGTTATGGCACATGTTATATCTTTCCAGTATGTGAAACTGAGCGTCTCTGTCTTACATTTAGAAATAAACAACAATATGCAGTTGTCACTTTTAGGTATGACTGTAATCTTTTTTTTTAATAACAGTTATTAATATTGTTTAATCACATAGCCCTGTTCCAGAGTTCTTTCAGAGCCTCATGTGCTGGCGATGTCACCGCCCTCATGACTCGAACAGACCCCCAGTCTGTATATATGTACATATGAGTGAGAG